ACGAGAGTGTGAGGCGAGGATACTAACCATTACACCACACGTCGTCTCTAATATCTAGTAAAGCCAGTTCCATGAACAACGTAGCAACTTGGCAAACATCTACAGTATATACCATATTGTCACCTTTCAAGACGAACTTGTAGGAATTCGTGGTATAATGTTGTCTAGCATTCAGGATGGATGGAAACTCTAAGGTGGTTTTCTTGTATAATATAAGTTATATGATTTACAGTCTGGTGCTGGAGGTGCCGTGTGGTGAGGAGCTGCTCAGTAGAGACGTTCGGTGAGTAGCGTGTTGAAGGAGGTAGATGTGCAGGAGCTTTGTTAGAGAAGATGTTGCCTGTTGCTGGCCTCCTGGTTGAATGAATGCTGACAGCGTGGAGCTTGCTGGAGGAGGTGTTGCTTGTTCAAGAAGAGACCAGAATGAGAAAGCTGGTTGGTGAGGAAGCTCAGAGAAGGACAGCTGGTGGGTCGCCATGCTCGCTGGCGAGAGCGAGGGCCGCCAGGCAGCGGCGGAGGAGGAGGTGTTGCTTGTTCAAGAAGAATGGTCAGAATGAATCTCAATGGAGAGACAGAGCTTATATACCCAGCAGCCGCGAGTCCTCTATGAGTCATGTTGGGAAAACCCGAGAAAGTCGCCGGTCTTTTGGTTCGGTTGCTAGGATACGGTGACATTGGAATGCGGATACGCAGTTGTAGGGGAAAAGTCCACTACAAACTACTGAATCTGATGGGCTAATTAACAAACATAATTGGAAGGGTAAGTTTAGTGTAGGCGAGCATTTAATTAAACACTGCATAATAAGGTAATCAAAGGATGGTTGGCACCACCTTTTCCTTCAGAATTACTTCGTGGCATACACGGGAAAGGTTGCTGCCGTCAAATGTGTACAATAATAATGGAAGACAAAATGTTGCATTAAATAAAAGCTGATAATTTCACCGCCTGATAACATTGTAAGCATTTATGAAATCAATGAAAATCACTAACCTAACCACTTGTGTTCGAGGTCCTCTCTCTGCTGAATAACATCGTCTGCCAAATAAAATATTTACCTCTCAAAGATGAAGCCTAACTCAATAACTCATTGTTGCCGGTCACTCAGTGGGTGAGTGTAGTTGGTTAACGTACGAATAATGCGCTGCATAATTTATGTGAATGGTGATTATATAAGTTTAACACTAGAAATTATTATAAAATATCTAAATATGAGCAGATAATGCAGGTGATATGAAATTTATTACTTGACATAAGGAGATTTACGCTTGAACGGCGTGTTCTAGCATTAGTGAAACAGCCAATCAGATGCTGATGTTTACCAATGCAGCTTATCTGTTGTCTATAGGAATTACGTTGCATTGAAAGACGATTTAAGGGTTTTAAAATCATGACACACAATAGAGAGAACAAATGATTAAAATAAGTGCATATTTACAAAATGAAGCTGAGTTAAAGTGCCAGAAAATATTTTCAATGGTTTTTACTAGCAAAAGGCAACAATTGGCAATAATGACATGTGTGTGTGTGTGTGTGTGTGTGTGTGTGTGTGTGTGTCTGTGTCTGTGTGTGTGTGTTTACATGTTCCGTTAACTTAAGGTGTTGATGTGTTGAACATGTATGATGTAAAATAAAAAGTACTGCGATTATAAACATTCACTCGCTTTGTTGTAGTTTGCGGCGAATAGATTCAATGACAAGGGTATAGGTTGAATAGCCTTGTATAAACCGATAGTTAAAGCCAAAATGACTGCCGACTTTAGCTGTGTTCCAAGGGCGATAATGGTGCGGGACCATATAAGCCTTATAAAGTGTTAAATTTTCAAGAAAACGTGAGCAAATACTGTATATGCGATGCAATAATCGATATTATGAAAATATGAGTTGATACTATTGTAGTGGACGTCTCCCCTACAAACTGCGTAGCTGCCACCACCTGCTACCGTCTTCCCTAGCAACCAAGCGTATCCGCATTCCAATGCCGCCGTATCCTAGCAACCGAGCCAAAAGACCGGCGACTTCTCGGGTTTTCCCAACATGACTCATAGCGGCTGCTGGGTATATAAGCTCTGTCTCTCCATTGAGATTCATTCTGACCATTCTTCTTGAACAAGCAACACCTCCTCCTCCGCCGCTGCCTGGCTGCCTTAGCTCCTCCTCGCCTGCCTGGCGGTCCTCGCTCCCGCCAGCGAGCATGTCCTCCTCTGAGCTTCCTCACCAACCAACTTTCATTCTGCCCATTTTGCTGAACAAGCAACATCTCCTCCAGCAAGCTCCACGCTGTTAACATTTCATTCAACCATGAGGCCAGCAACAGGCAACATCTTCTCTAACGAAGCTCCTGCACATCTACCTCCTTCAACAAGCTACTCACCGAACGTCTCTACCAAGCAGCCCCTCACCACACGGCACCTCCAGCGCTGATGGAGCTCCCTTAATGCACGTTTTAATTATCATAAACTATAACTATTTTCAATATGTAACATGTCACATCAGCTTTAACTTGTCTATTTCTGAATAAAAAAAAAATTGTAGTAAATTTGGTGTGATCGTCGCCGTCCTCGTTACTTATCGTCGTTTTCTTTGTGTCTGTAGGGCAGAATATATTATCAGTCAACTGTTCCGTGTACCACCACTAGTTGTTGATTAAAGAAGAAGATGATGGTTGTCAGACAATCATCAACACAGTCAGTTGGTGATTCCTGGTGGTGCGCCGCAACATGGTGGGGGTCTTGGTAGTAGACGGGAGGGGGACTCACTGCCCCCCTACGGCTCTAACGCTACGCTCTGCGGCAGATCATATCATTTTACTGTAGCAGCGCTGTCCTTCCCTCAACACTTCCCCCCTCCTCCCATACCCATACTCCCTCCAGATCTTCACCTCCTAAATCCCATACCCCTACTCCCCCAGTTCTTCTCCTCCACACACTCCTACTCCCTCAAGCTATTTCCCTACTCCTCCCATACTCCGTCTCCAACACACCCCCTGTTCTTCGTCTCCCACACTCCCTACTCTCAAGCCACCACTCTCTCGCTACTGCTTAATATTCACCAACACTACACTGCTGTGCCTTTATTCGTCTCTTAGTTTACCTCTTTTCTATCCTAATTTACGTTCTTCCATTTACGTTAACTTGTTCCCCATCCTCGTTATATTATCTGTATTCATCCATGTTTCAGTATTACTGTTGTTGAATCCGAATTGAAAAAAAAAATGCATATGTACTTGTATTCCTTCATCGCATTTTTTAGTATTCGTATCCTGGTATCTGTCATCCCTAACTTCCCTTTATCATATATACTCAGCTACCCATATATATTTTCCCAGAATCTCTACCTGGATTTCAGTAGTTTTCCCTCCCTCCCCACCAACTTCCAGCAGGAAGTCAGGATTACCACTAGTTCTCCCCCAGGAAGTCAGTGTTATCCCCCGCCGCGTAACCCTAGACTCCCTCTGGTGGCCGTCAATCGTCACCGCCACCCACTGCGTCTCGGTCTCGCGACTCTAGCTCTACCAGACCGTGCAGAGTTGCCAATTTAGCGCTTTGCCCGCTAGATCTAGCGCTTTGCTTGCTAGATCTAACACTTTTTTGCCTAATCTAACGCCAAAATTTTGTGTTTAGCGCCTTAGCGCTTTTCTTGGCGCAATTTCTTACATCTAGCGGCAAATTTAGTGCTATTTTCAAATGATGGGAATTTTCAAGTATTATAAAAGAATATCTTTATGAAAATAGGAAGTTTAATCAGAACTTATAAAAAATCAAACAAAACATACGGTACCGTTACAGACTGCTTACAATCCCGTAAATTTCTCATACTCAAAAATTAATTACAGGTCCGTAAGCAATCTATAATTCTAGTATTTACACTGCAAATTCAGTTCTCTTGTACGAAGGTAGATGGCAGTGCATGAGCTAGTTGGCCAATCGTCACTCAGTTAACAAAATCATCAACCAATCACAGGAGGAGACATCAGCTGAGATTGACACATGTAGTGGTTTGTTTGTAAACAAAAGATGGAAGGACCTACTGCAAAGAGGCGACCAAATTTCAGCAAGGAGGAAGTATTCATAATAGATTAAACTCACTAAAATTGCTTTAATTGAGTTAAACTTATCTTGAGAGCATAGAGAAAGACCTCCTCTTGCATCTTGCTTGTCATCTACTTGCATTTGAAGCTGCTTTCTGGACATACAGTTTGTAGTGGAGCTGGTAAAACAGCTTCGTCAACGTTTGCCTGACAATGCATAAGTTTTACAGTCTATGTCATCTCTGAGTGCAAGTGAATGCCTGAAACCAATAAAGCCTGGAATACTGGAATTAGCAAAGATGTTTGTTGATAGTGATGAAATTATCACACGCATTAAGTTCCAATGGAAGAAGCTTCATCACAAACAAAACATTGACACCCAAGGGCTCTGAGCAGAAATATTTTCTTACAGGGATGCAACAGGAGAAAATCCCTTTAGTGACCTCTCTGAGTTAAATTTGACAGTGCTAAGATTGCCTCATTCCAAAGCTGATGTGAAACGCATCTTTAGTCATATGAATATTGTCAAGTTAAAACTTTGAAACAGACTTAACACCAAAAGTTTAAATGCAATACTAACTATCAAGTATGGACTAAGAAGGCATGAAAGTTGTTGTTATGATTGTTAACAGCATAAGGAAGTGTTGAAAAACAATGGGTCATTAAAGTCATATCAGTCATCACAACCACAATCAGGATCCTCATGAACTGCAACAACCTGAAAGTGACCAAGGACAAGATAAAGACAACGAGGAGGAGATTGCAGATTGGGAATTAGCAGATCTGGAATAATAGTTAGTAGTATCAAATCATTTGTACCAGTAACTTTTGTATAACTAATTCCTAGCACTTTTTGTTAGCTTCTTCCATAATTGTAATGCTTTCTTAGCGCTTTTGGGGCGTGAATAAAGCCCCACGTGAAATTTTCAGTTGGCAGCTATGCGTGAGGCCAGACTTGCCAGTGCGACAGACGAGAGACACAGTACAGACTCAGAGGTCGTCCGTTCGGGTTGTGTATATCGTTCCTCGCTCTCTCTTGGTTGTGGAAGTTTGCAAGTTTGTGAGTTGTTTGATGGTACGGTACTACTGTCGGATATATTACTCTCTGTATTTATTTGCTCTGCTTAGCATACCGTACGAAAAACTGCTTTAAAAATGCGGTATATTTAAAACAACTGATATTGTATTTAGAAATATAAAGAAGTTGAATTAACTAAGGTAAGTCACTGCATTGAACTTTTATTATAAAATAACTTGACCGGCTAGGCACTTTCTTTTAATTAACAAAGTTATTAAAAAATGGTCATTGAGCTGCGTAGTCTCAAAAAACATCACCTGTCTGAAGTTTATACATTATGCAGCTGTGATAATTCTTAACAGGTGTGAGTGACCACACTTGTCTTAGGCGTAACAGCAACAGGTGTGGTAGCTATGAAGGGGCTGTCAACAGGTTTGGAGGTTCTGGGGGAAACCCCAACAGATATACAGGTTAAATGGGTTAACTACAGCATCAGTTGGGCACTCTTACGTTACAGCAACAGGTGGGAGTTCAGTGTTACAGCAACAGGTGGGAGTTCAGTGTTACAGCAACAGGTGGGAGTATAGTGTTTCAGCAACAGGTGGGAGTATAGTGTTACAGCAACAGGTGGGAGTATAGTGTTGCAGCAACAGGTGGGAGTTCAGTGTTACAGCAACAGGTGGGAGTATAGTGTTACAGCAACCGATTGGGAGTATAGTGTTACAGCAACAGGTGGGGAATTATAGTGTTACAGCAACAGGTGGGGAGTATGAGTGTTACAGCAACGATTGGGAGTATAGTGTTACAGCAACAGGTGGGGTATAGTGTTACAGCAACAGGTGGAATTATAGTGTTACAGTAGGGAGTGACAGTTTGGCAAAGTTTTCAAAATCTAATTGCTTGGGTTGGATTATTTGTCTATCGGCCACGCTTAATTCCGAATATGTTTGAGTTTTTTACATCATTGCATTAGAGGGTTTGTGGATACTTTTGGTTTGGCATGAAAACGCAAAAAACTGTAAAAATAAAGGGACTGGCAATGTGGCACAACCTGTTAAAAATCAAGTTATTGAATTGGATTATTCGACTACTGTGTACACTGGTTCATAATATGCTATTGTTTTACAACTCAATGCGCTACAAATTATGCCGATATTTTTTGCTGCAAGCCACATGTATATAGTTTCGAAAATCAATAGATTCCGTGAATGAGGACATTCATGGAACATTACCAAACTCCGTATATGTGCCAATGGCAGGCCAATGGCAATATTTACAGAGTTTGTTGAGGCTCCCTGGACGGGAATGCCCTGAATTTATTCCACGGAATCTATTCACGCCGTTGGTAATATTCGTCCCAGGACTGATCAACGAATTCAGCCCAAGTAGCTTGACTTGGACAGTTAAGGACAAAATCTCAGTCCGTACTTTTGAATAAAATATTGTTCAATAGGTGGTGATATTGAAGTGCTGAAAGTTGTTTTTTCTGTGTTGTTTTGCAGTTAGTTCAAAGGGCCGCCACCAAGATGGGTCGTCCTAAGATTAGCAACACTCAGCTGCGCCAGGGTAACGATAAGGTGTTCGGGGTTCGGATGCCTCTGCCATCTAACAAGTTGCCTCTGAACAAGGAAGTTGGAAGTGCCCTGGCTTATGAAGCAGAAAACGAGAGGTTAAGGAGAAGAACAAATGCTTTTGATTATATGGATGCCACCAACAAGGTGACTGAGAAGGTACTGGATGTGTATAGGAAGGCCACTGTCCCCACTATCTCTGAAATCAGGGTGAAAATGAGAGTCCACGACCTGTGGAGGATGCGGAGGGAGACGATGATGATGAAGGGAAATGGACAGAAACAGAAAAGGAAGAAAACGAAGAACGGGAAGCTGAAGATGAGGTTCGAGGATATAGCTGAGAAGTTGTTTGATGTGGCAGACGACAGCAAAGTGCACGAACGAGAGAAAAGCTTCCTGGCAGCCCAGAGGAAACCGGGAAGGGAGGGCTGCATTGATGGCGTTGACAAAATTGTGACTGCCAAGCTGAAAGAAGAGAGGGAGAAGGAAGCGAAGAGGGCAAAGAAAAGGGCTGAGGAAGAGAGGAAAACTGAGAAGATGAGGTCAAAGAGTAAGGAGGAGATGGAGAGGATGTCGTGTAAAGTGTCGGCAGTGGATGACAGTGCTCAGGAAGAAGATAGTGATTATAAGGATGTCAATGACAATGAGTTCAAGGCTATGGTCGACAGGAGAGCAAGATCAGAGAAAAGGAAAAGGGAGAAAGAAGCCGAGGACAGGATCGGAGAAACTGCTGACAGGTTCAAGGTATCCAATGATGCAGTGGCTCACATCGCAAACACCATCAGAGCTGCAGACAACATCATAACTGAAGGGGACAAGTCTAAAGTGACTAACTGGAAGAAAGTGGAGAGAGTCAGGAAGAGGTCACGAGAACAGAAAAAAGAAAAGTTCAGGGGATTCAAGGTCAGAGGTCTCATGGTAGATGAGAGGATCAATGAGAACAAGATAGTGACTGGTGTAGGTGAGAAGAACCACAAGAGATTCGCCATGGAAAAGAGGGAAGACTGTGCAGTAGGGAGTGACAGTTTGGCAAAAGTTTTCAAAATCAAGTGGCTTGGGTTGGATTATTTGTCTATCGGCCACGCTGGTTCCGAATATGTTTGAATCTTTAACATCAGTGCAGCAAAAATATCGGCATAATTTGTAGCGCATTGAGTTGTAAAACAATAGCATATTATGAACCAGTGTACACAGTAGTCGAATAATCCAATTCAATAACTTGATTTTAACAGGTTGTGCCACATTGCCAGTCCCTTTATTATTTACAGTTTTTTCGCGTTTTTCATGCCAAACCCAAAAGTATCCACAAACCTTCTAATGCAATGATGTAAAAAACTCAAACATATTCGGAATTAGCGTGGCCGATAGACAAATAATCCAACCCAAGCAATTAGATTTTGAAAACTTTTGCCAAACTGTCACTCCCTAGTTGCAGCAACAGGTGGGAGTTCAGTGTTACAGCAACAGGTGGGAGTATAGTGTTACAGCAACAGGTGGGAGTATAGTGTTACAGCAACAGGTGGGAGTATAGTGTTACAGAAACAGTGGGTAGTGTTACAGCAACAGGTGGGAGTTCAGTGTTACAGCAACAGGTGGGGAGTACAGTGTTACAGCAACAGATGGGAGTTTAGTGTTACAGAAACAGGTGGGAGTTCAGTGTTACAGCAACAGGTGGAGTTCAGTGTTACAGCAACAGGGAGTTCAGTGCAACAGGTGGAGTCGGTTACAGCAACAGGTGGGAGTTCAGTGTTAAGAACAGGTGGGAGTTCAGTGTTACAGCAACAGGTGGGAGTTAGTTAGCAAAAGGGGAGTATATTGTTACAGCAACAGGTGGGAGAATAGTGTTACAGAAACAGGGAGTATAGTGTTACAGCAACAGGTGGGAGTTCAGTGTTACAGAAACAGGTGGGAGTATAGTGTTATAGCAACAGGTGGGAGTATAGTGTTACAAACAGGTGGGAGTATAGTGTTACAGCAACAGGTGGGAGTATAGTGTTACAGAAACAGGTGGGAGTATAGTGTTACAGCAACAGGTGGGAGTTCAGTGTTACAGCAACAGGTGGGCAGTGTTACAGCAACAGATGAGTTTAGTGTTACAGAAACAGGTGGGAGTTCAGTGTTACAGCAACAGGTGGGAGTTCAGTGTTATAAGCAACAGGTGGGAGTTCAGTGTTACAGCAACAGGTGGGAGTTCAGTGTTACAGCAACAGGTGGGAGTTCAGTGTTACAGCAACAGGTGGGAGTTCAGTGTTACAGCAACAGGTGGAGTTCAGTGTTACAACAGGGGAGTATTGTTACAGCAACAGGTGGGAGTAAGGGTTACAAACAGGTGGAGTTCAGTGTTACAGCAACAGGTGGGAGTATAGTGTTACAGCAACAGGGGAGTATAGTGTTACAGCAACAGGTGGAGTATAGTGTTAAACAGGTGGGAGTATAGTGTTACAGAAGCAGGTGGAGTATAGTGTTGCAGCAACAGGTGGGAGTTTAGTGTTACAGCAACAGGGAGTTCAGTGTTACAGCAACAGGTGGGAGTATAGTGTTACAGCAACAGGTGGGAGTATAGTGTTACAGCAACAGGTGGGAGTATATTGTTACAGCAACAGGTGGGAGATAGTGTTACAGCAACAGGTGGGAGTATAGTGTTACAGAAACAGGTGGGAGAGTAGTGTTACAGAAACAGGTGGGAGTATAGTGTTACAGCAACAGGTGGGAGAATAGTGTTGCAAACAGGTGGGAGTATAGTGTTACAGCAACAGGTGGGAGTTCAGTGTTACAGAAACAGGTGGGAGTATAGTGTTATAGCAACAGGTGGGAGTATAGTGTTATAGCAACAGGTGGGAGTATAGTGTTACAGCAACAGGGGGAGTATAGTGTTACAGAAACAGGTGGGAGTATAGTGTTACAGCAACAGGTGGGAGTTCAGTGTTACAGCAACAGGTGGGAGTATAGTGTTACAGCAACAGATGGGAGTTTAGTGTTACAGAGGTGGGAGTTCAGTGTTACAGCAACAGGTGGGAGTTCAGTGTTCAGCAACAGGTGGGAATTCAGTGTTACAAACAGGTAGGAGTTCAGTGTTACAGCAACAGGTGGAGTGAGTTCAGTGTTACAGCAACAGGTGGGAGTTCAGTGTTACAGCAACAGGTGGAGTTTAGTGTTACAGCAACAGGTGGGAGTTCAGTGTTACAGAAACAGGTGGGAGTATAGTGTTATAGCAACAGGTGGGAGTTCAGTGCTATAGCAACAGGTGGGAGTTCAGTGTTACAGCAACAGGTGGGAGTTGAGTGCTGCAGCAACAGGTGGGAGTATAGTGTTACAGCAACAGGTGGGATATAGTGTTACAGCAACAGGTGGGAGTTCAGTGTTACAGCAACAGGTGGGGTTTAGTGTTACAGCAACAGATGGGAGTTCAGTGTTACAGCAACAGGTGGGAGTTCAGTGTTACAGCAACAGGTGGGAGTTCAGTGTTACAGCAACAGGTGGGAGTTCAGTGTTACAGCAACAGGTGGGAGTATATTGTTACAGCAACAGGTGGGAGTATAGTGTTACAGCAACAGGTGGGAGTTCAGTGTTACAGCAACAGGTGGGAGTATAGTGTTACAGCAACAGGTGGGAGTATAGTGTTACAGCAA